GCCTGATCTCATTAGGATCTTTTATAAAGCTCTTTTAAGTGTGGCCTGAAACTTAAGTTAGCCTTAGTCAGTTCTGACATGAACTCATGCTATCCCATTATCTAGCTGCCCATATCATTTTTTTTTACCACCATCTTGGTTTTGCAGGGCAGGTATTGCTTCCTCTATCCAGGACACCTATCTCCTCCTTAATGTACCAGATAAACTTCCATTCATACTTTAAGTACTCTTTGTTTAAATTTTTTAAAATTTGCTTTATTTAATTAGTTATACATGACAGTAAAATGCATTTATGCACTTTGATATATTACATATAGACTTTTCTGATTATCTGTGGCATAAGTTAGTCAAAAATTTTAGAAAGGCTTTTTTCCATGTTTTAGTCAGGAGCTTAATGTTGTGCAATTAATGTATTACAATTATTCTCGTTACTATGTGGAGACTGGATTGGATGCTCGTATATTGAGACCTCAATAAATCATGTATTGCCCAGAAAAGGTAAAAAACAATAGTACTTTGATATAGTCTCCAGGGTGGTAGCAATGACATGAGAAAATCACTATATAGAGGTATGAGAAAAATTCTAACTAGTGACAATTAGATATCTAATAGTAGCTCAGAGGATTATCCCATAATATGTGATGCTGAGATCCCAAATCTGGTCTGAGATGATCCTATGAGCTTTTCATTCTACCGTTATCAAGTGTCCAGGAGAGGCCTTATATTGGTTCATATTTAGGAGACACTAAGAATGGCAGCATGGTAGGTAAAAGGGACACTTCCTCTATTCAGAGATGATTTTTCAGAATATACATTATAATAATTATATATATATATAATTATTATAATATATATTATAATATTATAATATATATTATAATATTATAATACATAAATGAATATATTTGGGAAACTATTTCTTAAAGATTCATATAGGAAACATTTTAAACTTTGTGGCTCAAGGAGTCTGTGTAGCTTTGTAGTCATAGACAATATGTAAATGAAAGGGTGTGGCTGTCTTTCAATACAACTTTATTTACAAAACAGGCAGGAATTCTGATTTGGCTTTCAGGTTATAGTTTGTTGACCTCTGATTTTGCCTATAAATAATGTACTACCTATGAACTAGACCCCTCTTCAGATTCCAGATTGTGCATATAAGCCAGGCACAATGTTCTGTATATTGTAAATCTATTTCGGATTACATAAAATTACCTGATGCAATGCAAATGGTATGTAAATGGTAGTTACACTATATTGTTCAGGGAATAATGACAAAAGTGTCTACACATGTTCAGCATAGACACATTTTTTGAACACTTTTGATTCACAATTGCTTCAATCTGAAGATAATACAGGGCCATTTATTATTTTATACTTCACCTTGTGCTTACATTCATTTCAAACAAAATTAACATTTAAAGACCTTAAAAAAGGATAAAACTGAATACATGTAGAATTATTTTAAGTATCAGTAACAGAGATAACTCTATTTTATCAAAATTCTAAAAATAATTAATTAAAAATTATTTTATGATCTGTTTTTATTGATGTTAAAGAACCAGTTTTAGTATTTATTTTTGTGTGAATTCTCTAGTTCTTCTGTCTAAATTCTGATAGACTGGTTTTATCTATCATGTGTTATCTCAGGGATTTTAGTTCTTCAGTATGTTACAGCATTTATTATACTGTATTACAAGTGTTTCTTTATGGGTGTCCCTTATTAAGAAGTTTCAAGGTTCTTTTGGCTGAGCACAATATCTTATCCATTTATCATTTACTTTTTTTAATTTAATAATGTTTATCAGATACCAACTATGTGTAAGTCCTATTATAAGTAATGAGAAGATATTGGTGAATAACATAGGGCTTGTGTTTTCTCTCACACAGAAAAAGTACCAAACAAGGGAATAAATATTTGAATTCAAATTTAATAACTTATGAGAAAACTAAAACCTTGAAAATGAGAAGGAGAAAGCCAAAGTCATTAGAATACATAGGCTACTTCAAATTGGTGATACTTGAGGATACTTTTGGATTTGATTTTTGATAAAGATATAGTCAAACAGAGAACTGGATTAAAGCAATCTATACCTTCCAACCCCCCAAATGTTTTGTAAATAAAAAGTGTGAGAGTCCAGAGATTGAAATGATTTGGACAAGCTGTAGGAAAGGAAAAAGGACTCTATGTCTACAGTGTAGGTGGTGAGTTGATCAAATGGCAGGAGATAAATAACTCCAGCATTAGAAGATAACTCGTGGCAGATGGTTGTTTAAAAAAAAAAAACTCCAAAAAAAAAAATCTGTCTCAGGTTCATCTAAGACCTTGCCACTTCCTTCATCAAGAGCTGATGTGTATGATCCTCTGCTTGAACCTATGTAGGTATGAAGATATACGGAAAATCTGTACATTCTGCATAACTTTGCTATTTAATCTGCTCTAAAATAAATTGTATATTTAAAACATCAAATGTTTTAAACATCAAAACATAAAAATAAAATGATAAATATTCAAATATGAGTACTCTTAAAAAGCATAGCTAGAGGTCGGGCGTGGTAGCACACACCTGTACTCCCAGTGGCTCAGGAGGCTGAGGTAGCAGAACCAAGAGTTCAAAGCCAGCATCAGCAAATGTGAGGCACTAAGCAACTCAGTGAGACCCTGTCTCTAAATAAAACATAGAATAGGGGTGGGGCTGGGGCTCAGTGGTCAAGTGCCCCTGAGTTCAATCCCTGATACTCCACCAAAAAAAAAAAAAAGCATGACTAAAATTAGTGTCTTTGGGTTTGCATGACCTTATTTTGCTAGAAGAAAATGTTGTGACTTGTTTGGATTTTCTTCTGTGATTCTGTTATTATCATGAAATGATCAATGTTCTCAATAACTGTCTTGAGTCACAGAGTAAGGCTAACAGAACACACAAAGTTACATATTCTGCAAGATTCTCTCAGGATGCTCAACCCTGAACCTCAGCATCCCAAGATGAGGAACCTGAAGTCACATGTAAATTCAAGTCAGAAGGAGTTGAAGCTCCGTGCTCTGAACTCTTGCTGTGTTGGGAGATAGGTGTGCAGCAACTGGACAACTGGAACAAATGACAGGCCATTGCTATCATATCTTAATCTGTGCCTGGGTTAGATAATATCCTTATTAAGTCAACATTGATGTTGATGGAATCACAGAAGAAAATCCAAACAAGCTGAAATTACAAAAACCTATTCCTCTGGCTAAATCAGGTCATACCATCCCAGTGACACTTATCCATGCCATGATTTTAAAAAGTATTTCTTTTTAAACATGTATCATTTCATTTATTATTTCAAATATAGTTAGAGTGAATTTAGTATATGTTTGCCTATGTGCAGCCATTGTCAATGGACTGCCTAATTTCTTTCTTAGGAATTTAATGATTGTTGCATAAAAGTGCTATTGTGTTTTCTTGGCTTGTGTGTGTGTGTGTGTGTGTGTGTGTGCGCTGCTGGGCATTGAACCCAGGGCCTTGTGCATGCAAGACAAGTACTCTACCAGCTGAGCTATATCCCTAGCCTGCTACTACATTTTTATATTGATTTTGTATCCTGCAACTTTATAGAATTTATCTGTTTAAACACCTTTTTGATGGACTAGTTGGATTTTTCTATGTATTAAATATGTAATTTTCAAATATGGATAATTTAACTTTTTCCTTTCCACTTTGGATTAAGTGCTTTGCATTTGGTATAGAGAAACTCAAAAGTATAGTCTGTGATTTCTTCATTTTTGATTGATATCAGCATGTCTTTGATTATCTAAATAGTCTAGACTAAAGTGGTTTATGAAGGTAGTTTGTAGTGGGCATAGGCTTTCCAAGGTGAATGTCCAAAATTGAGCCCTATTGGCAATGAGGCTTGTGGTATCTACTTCCATGTCTCAGTGGTGTGGGATGTGTAGAGGAATGTCCCCAGACCCTTTGGGGCAAGCACAGGTGATGCCCAAGGTTGTGGTGTCAGCAACCATTTCCCTAAGCCCTGGGACATAAAGGGGACTTTCTGAAGGACTCTCAGGTTGAATGCAGGGATGTCTGGGCCTATAGAACAAGTAAGCACAATTCTAGAGTGACAATATGGAATTATTTCTCTTCAGGACCTATGAGATGAGCAGAGGTTATGCTGGGATCTGTGGCATTAGTAACAGTGGATTCAATGTTGTGGAACTTAAAGAGGGGACCTACCTTCCCTACATTCCATGGAATGATTGCAGTTTGTGCTGAGGCTAATAGTGTTGTTAGCCTCATTCAAAGCTGTAGACCTAAATAATATCTTCTCCAGGTCCCACAGGATACACACAAGTGGCACTAGGGCTTTCTGTACCAGCAGCTCTGGTCTCAAGTCTGTAGGCTGAGGAGGAGACCTTTCCTAGTTCCTCTGTTGCATATGCAGTTAGCATTTGGGCTTGAGTTACTGGTAATCAAAGGATACCTGGAAAAATAGGAAGTTGAGGATACCTTCTCTAGGTCCTGTGCTGAAATACAGGTGGTCTTTGAGATTGTGGCTTTTGTTGCTGTGATCCTGAAGCCATAGGGCATGCAAAGAATGCCCCTAAGACATATAATAAAAGTGCTAGTGGAGACTAGGCTTGTGGCATTGGTAGCCAAAGTCCTGGAGTTGCAGGGTATGGACAGGACCTTCCCCTGTTCCTCACAGACAAGCTTAGAGCATATCAGGTCTCTTTGCACCAGCAGTTCAGAGCTTTGCAATCTCAAACCTGGGGCTCAGAAGGAGACTTTCCCTAGTTCCAGCCTAGTGAGTATAGGTGGTGTCAGGGATTGGGGCTGCTGGTAGCTGTATTCCTGGAACTGCAAAACAGCAGGGACCTTTTCCAGCTCCCAATGATAAGGCACAGGTGAAGCCTGGACTTTGCACTATTAGCTGCAGTCTCAAGGCCTTGGACTAGCCAGGAGACTTCCCTATTCCTGCAGGGTAAACAGGGGTGGGACTTGGTTTTGTGGCTGTGGTAGCCACTAGTCTTGAAGCTGCAGGATGATGAAGAGGCTGCTTTCTGCTCTGCGTGGTAAACACCTGACTAAAGTTTCCGGCAGCTTCTCGGGGCCAAGTGCCAACCCCTAAGGTAAAGTGGCATCTAGCAATGGCTGCTGCAGTAACTTGAACTCTGGGAGTTGCGGGGGGTGCAAAGTGAATTCCTTCTTTGGAGCAGTGCATTCACTTTTCCACCAGCCAGTTCTCTGAACTGGATTTGAGGCCTGTGAAGACTGGTTTTCTTGCTTCTAGGACTGTCAGTCCTCTGCTGTGATTTGGGTGTCTGGCCCTGTCCCACTTACTCTTTCACCGCAGTGTGGGTTCCTCCTTCATCAAGCTGGGTTGAAGTTATAATTTGGTTTGTTCTTTCCTCTGGACTGCCTTTCTGACTTGCAGCACTGTTGAGGGTTCCCATCACTTCCTTGCTGACTTCAAGGGTACTCACACAGTCAGTTTCCTCATAACACAGCTTGCCCTTCTTATCTTGGTTCTTCTCTATGACAGAGCGCCACACAAAGTATCTCTATTCTGCATCCTTGGAAACAGTAAATCTGTCATTTTTTAAAATTTATTTTTCTTCTTAGAAACATATCTGAATCGTTTCTAGTTGTTACAAATACTACTTCCATGGTCACTGTTTTGTTTTTGTTTGTTTTTGGATGAATCCATGTAGGCATTTCACTGAGCACACACCTACAAATCAAACTGATGTGTTAGATGTCATGCACACATCCAGATTTAGCAGATACTTCAAAAGAGTTTCTCAAAAAATTAACTCTACAATCCAAACAGCAGTCTACTGGCATTTGAGCTTCATCAAATTACTTATTATTTATTCATCTTTACATTTTTGCTCTTCTTGTTGTGGTATTTGTTATTTTAATTTATATTTCCCTGGTAACAAGTAGAGCGGAAGAAGTTTTTATTTAGTTGAACATTTGGCTACCCTCTTTTTTGAAGTATCTATTGAAGACAATCATCAATTTCTTATAATCTTATCAGTTGTATTCTTACTGTTTTTTATAAGATTTTTAAAGTGTAGTCTATATGCAATTCTATTCTTTGAAAACCCCAAAGTTTTGTTTCCTCTGACACTAAGACAATTTCTAAATTTAATGCAATATATTTTTAATTTTTTTCTTTATAGATAGTACTTTTGCCCAATTTTAAAAAAAAAAAAAACTGATGATTTCTACATATTGTAGCTTTTCGTATTATCCTTTCTTTTAAATATCCCACTATATTTGATGAATAAAATGTCTTCTCTTATACTGTGAAAGAAAGAATCAGAATATGTTAATTATAACAGGGCTTTGGCCTGTATCCAATCTGCATATCTCTGTACCAAATTTCCCAAATATCTCCTTTTCACTAATAAAATATCTTAAAGGTATTTCTGCCAAATTTAAAAAGCAGGAGATCTCTTATTTCATGTTTAAAGTTGGATTGAATTTTCTGATAGCCTAAAAATGCAAAAAAAAAAAAAAAATAATGAAATGGGCCAATGCTGTACCTGTCCTTTGTTTCTCAGCTCTGTGTTGCCAAAGATGGACTACAAACTCCAAACTTGTCTGTATAGAAAGGAGAGTTGAGAAATGAAAGCTCAACATCATTCCTCAAGGTTCTGGGAGTGTCCACATGCTTCCTGGTTGCTTCATCCTCACCATGGCTTAGGGCTGGGGTGGTGGCTCTGTGGTAGAGCCCTTGCCTAAACTGTGTGAGAAACTGGGTTTGATTCTCAGCACCTCATACAAATAAATAAAAATAAAAGCCATTGGCAACTAACAAAAAAGGAATCCAGCTTTTAAATGACCTATTGTATCCAAGTGTGAGTGTTAGAGAAATTAAGTTCTACTCGTCTTCTGGATGACATGCACAGAAAGATCCACACAGAACCTTTGCCTGGTCACTCAACAAACTCCTTATCATTTTCCTACACCTCAGACTGAGTGATTTTGACTTCCATTTGTTCCAGACCAAAGACTTTAAGGCCAGAAGCAAATGTCTTTTAAATTTCATCTGATTAATGTCCCTCCACAGCATATTTGTCACTTCCAAAGACTCCACATGTTGTTCTACAAGGCAAACCTACCCTGAGCTCGTCTGTGGAAGAAATGAGGCATGTTGAATAAGTACTATTGCATTTTAATATCACTAAACTTCAGTAGTCCTCACTGCTGGGAGTTAAACATTAAATTTCTGAAGCAGAGACATGAACTAAAATTTTCCCTCATTTCTTTTCCCTGGGTTCACTAAGTAAGGTAATGACAAGGATGCATTGATTTGGCCAGTAATGTGTCCAGCCATGTAGAATGAACCCTGTTTAGCCAAGTTTTCATATAATTCCCACGAGAAACAAGATTAAATTTCTAATTTGGTGATGATCTGAAAAGAGTCAACCTACCACTTCCCCCCACCCCTTAGCATTTCAAGGTCTCACTTTAACCTTCTCAACCAAATATATTTTATAAGATCTTAAGCTTAAAAACTCTTCCTAACTTACAAGTTATGTTTTCTCCTTCATGAATGATCTTTGACCTTGAAATGAAAATGGAAGCTACTCATTCATCTTTAAACACCATAAAGACTTATCACTGTAAAATGTATTTTCATTGCATGATATTATTTCAGTATGATCTATTAAAGTGTCATGAGAAAGGCAGGAAATAAGAATCAATCCCCTGGAACTATTAAAACATCTATTCTTTTCAGGCTCAGGTATTAAATATCTCTTCTTTGAAAAGAGAACAACACATCATTTTCTATTGATATTACCAAATGCTCAGGCTCTCAATGAAAGAGAAGAACCCTATAGAACAGCTCTCTTAGAGACAGATTGCCAGGTTACACATGTGACCAATATATGCCATTTTCTATTTTCAAGTAGCTACATTAAATAAAGCAAAATAAAGAAAAGAATGGATAAAATTAACTTGAATAATGCAAATATATTAAAATATTATTTTAATAAGTAATCAATATAAACTATTAATAAAATATTTATATTTTTGATACAGAGTCTTTGAAATTCAGTGCAGGTTATAAATTGCTGGCTCATTTGAACTATTCACATTTCAAGCATACAATATCCACATGTGGCTGGTGGCACCATGACGAACAATGTGGCTTGCATTTACTTTCCATGATAGAAACCCTGGGGAAAAAAACTAATCCTTTATATCTGTTTTCAATTTCTTCTAGAAGATCTCCTTCTGCTTTCCTTTTTTTTCTTTAGGTGCTGAATCATACACCAAGCTGATTCTTGTTTTATTTTCCTTCAAGCTGATAAAATACATGACTGGAATTACAAATTTTTTTTGTAGCAAGGGATGAATTCCAGGACACACAATGAATTGCTAATAATCTAATATGGTTTTGCTTCAAAGTTATTTTTAATGGTAATTTTTGTTTTCTGCCTGATGTGAAAGCCATATCTAACACTGGCAAATTATGTAAACTGTGAACTCAGGCAAATTATTTTGACTCTCTAAATGTTATAGTTTGTAACTGGATTGTCCCCACCACAGGCCCATAGCAATGGAGCCCAGTTGACCAAGAACTAAAATCTCTGAAACTGTGAACAAAAATAAATCTTTCCTCCTTTAAGTTGTTTTTCTCAGGTATTTTGTCACAATGTTAGAAAACTCATTAGCAGGCTAAATTATATGAATCTTCTTCCTAGTATGAAGAAATAAAACGTTTTCACAGGAATCCTCTGAGAATTTCATGATATCATGCTTTTGTAGTTAGTACATGTGGTACTAACTTATGAACATGTATAGACATGCTTGTTTTATAAGTATTTTTCATTAACTAGATAATGCAAGAGCTTTCTTTGACTTTTTCATTGACCATTATAAGAAGAAACGATACAAATTCTACACCAATTTATAGATATGAAAAACACTGTTGCCTTTTCAGAAGCATAATTCAGGTCACATAATACATATATAAGTGACCTCACATTACATTTAGAATGTAACTCAAACTCTTTAAAAGGCCCTACACATCAGAACTTATACCTTAAATCCATTTTACTCGCTCCTATTCTATAGAGATATCAATCCATACAGGATTTCCTTTTTCCCTGGGACATCTCCATGCTTGTTCCTTTACCTTGACTATATTGGTCCCTCTAATCATTCTGCACTTACTTCAAATGTCAACTCTTCAGATAATTTTTTTTCTTTCCCAAGGTACCCAAATAAGTCAGACCAAATAAAAATCTGAGGTATTCTCTCCTTCATCCCATCATTCTCTATTCTCTTTTCTTTTTTATTCCCATTCTTTGTCTGAAGTTGTCTAGTTTATTTGTAGGTCTATTTAAAAATTTATTTTCGGGGCTGGGGATGTGGCTCAAGCGGTAGCGCACTCGCCTGGCATGCGTGGGGCCCGGGTTGGATCCTCATCACCACATGCAAACAAAGATGCTGTGTCCGATGAAAATTAAAAAATAAATATTGAAAAATTCTCTCTCTCTCTTATTTTTCTCCCTCACCAAAAAAATACTAATGCATTAGGAGAAAGACCTAATCTATTCTATTCAACACTGAATCCTCATACTTATGAGTGTACCAGGCACATAGTACTTGTTCTACAAAATTTTGTTGAATAATTAATAAATGCCTTACAGAAGAAATACTGTTGACCCACGTGGTCTTATTTCCAGATACCATAATGGGTCACCCATCATGAGGTGAGGATATTCAATCAGTGAAAGATCTAGTAAGCACAGAGTTAGTAGCTGGATTCAGCTGTTTCTTCTAGACAGGAAAGAGATTAAAAACCCTAGGGCTCCAATGGCCAACTTAGCTCTTTACTTCCTTTAAATGCTCTCTCCTTCCCTCTTTAAGGGGAATCAGCTGCTCTGGAGGTATTTGCTCTAAATGAGAATTCAGTTGCAGAGAGAAGGAGTAGACAGCATAATATAGTGGAAGCAGAAAAACCAGATTCTAATGGATCTAGGTTTGAGACAGGAGTCCTTGAGCAAATAGCATCAGTGATATTTGGCTTACTGTTTTGCTATAATGATGAAATTATATTAAATGTGCCTATTACTCATTAGACCTTCAGCAGAAGCAAATTTTTGTT